CCCCCTGTACTATCTCTCAGGTTCAAAAGTTTCCTCCTTTTTTTCCAGCAGCAGAGCAAGAGGCTGGGTGGATGACGGAGGAACCGACTCCCTGTCCCTGGGCTGCAGGACCTGTCGGTGCTCCCAGGCCCTCTCGAGGCCTGTCAAGGTCACGCTATGCCAACAGCGAATGCACTGGGGGAAATTTCAAGGTTAGACTCACTGAATGAAAAGCCCGGTGGGCTTGTGGTTTAGGGGGTTGCTGCCAACACCCCCATACACGGTGACTGGATCCATTTACAGCCCCCAGCAGTGGCAATAGTTGCACCCAGAGCTTATCACACTTAGTCTTCTTCCCAGGGGAGCACTATACGCTGGGGGCTGTGTTACCCTCTCCTCATTAGGCCTGTATGCTCCCAACCGTGTCTGGCTTCCTTGGGCATTTGTAGGCTGGACACAGCCGAGTCTCAGGGGACCACTGTCAGCCAGGAGCCGGGTGGGTCAGGGCTCAGGGGACTCGGAGCAAGAGAGGAAGCCTGGGAGAAGGAGGCGATGGGCTAGAGTCTGACAGGTGTGAAGGAGGAGAATGGGAGGGAGCAAGTTCATGAAACAGAGGAGGATGGAGAGTGTTCAAAGGGGGCCAGTAAAGAGCGGAAAGTTATTGACTTAAGGGGAAAATAATCTGGGGCATCATCGCTTCAGGCACGGCTGAATCCAGGGACTTAAGCGGCACCCTGGGACATCTGTCTTCACTTGGTTTTCCTGGACGCCTGTTGGTTGAGTTCTCAGGCAGGCCCTGGGTTTTCCTGCCACAGTCTACGACAGTTGGTGACAAGAGTGCCTCTTACCCAACAATTCCTGCAAGTACCCTGGAACATAGAACACTCACTGGACTGATTTGGGTCAGGAGCTTGGACCTTAACCAAAAGTAACAGCTGGCCCGGAGGAGCTGGACTATGATGATTGGGCAGCCTGGGGCAGGTCAGTCCTGCGGGGAGAGGGGGAGGAGGAGGATGGAGCAGAGGGGAGAGGTTTGCAGGGAGGGACAATGAATGGCCAAAGAAACATCCAGGTGCAGTGACTAAGAGGGAAGCAGGGGCTTGCAGGGAGGAAACCAAAGCAGAAGAGCAAACCACCGCAGAGGTGCCTTGGAACTTCCCCTCGAGGGTGTGGGAGCGTGAGCGCCTCCTGTTGGCCTGGAGGTGCACTTCACCTATGGCCGGCCGTGTGTGTGTGTGTGTGTGTGTGTGTGTGTGTGTGTGTGTGTGTGTGTGTGTGTGGTGCACATGTGTGCGGGATCGTGTGCATGCAAGTGGCGGGCCCCTGTGATGGCCACAGGTTCTCTTGGTGCCCAGGCTACGATCTCTGCCCGTCTCTTGCTCCAGGCAGGCGCTAGCCCTGTCTCTCCCCGAAGAAACAGCAGCTCCCGTCTTGGAAGCCTTGACACTGTGGGTGGGGGTGTGCTAGACTTCACCTCCTAAAGGGTGAGTCTTCAAGCACGTCCTCATCCTGTCCGTCAGCCCACTTGGAGATGTGTCCTGCCCACACTTGTCCCGCCCAGCTTCTGTCCTGCGATTCTGCCTTGGACAGGTGGGTCCACTACAGTGATTCCCTGTGGGCAGGGGGCTGGGGGAAGGCATTTACCTTGCAGGCCGTGACCCAGGTTGGATCTCCAGCTCCACATATGGTCCCCCGAGCCCCAACAGGAGTGATACCTTGAGCAGTCGGGAGTCAGCCCTGAGCTGGGTGTGGCCCCAAATCCCCCAAGTAAAATAAGTGGAGGCACACAGTAGGTGCTCAAAAGAGCCTCATTCACCCCACCAGTGACTGGCAGCTAGGGGGTCCCTGCTGCTCTGGGAGGGAAGGCGAGCAGAGTGACAGGGGGAGGGTGGCCAGGCCAGGGGGCACCCTAGCGGGCTGGTTGTGGGAGACGCAGGTTGTGGCTGACCAGCAGTCAAGGAATCAGGGCCTTGATTTGTGCCTTGACCATATCCAGAGGACATGGCGTCCAGCGACTTGTTCAAGACCCCCGGCCTGGCTGGAGCACAGACACAGCCCCCAAAGCGGCTCCTTCCTCTCAGAGGCGCCTGGGCTGTGCTGAGCGGATCCTCTGCTAGTGGACTGGGGCCCAGGGGCGACAGAGAGATGGGGACAAGCTGTGTGGCAGCAGGCTGGTGATGTGTTGTCTCTGGGCTCCAGGTGTGACAGAGAGCAAGGTTTCAGAGGATGGTGGCCAAGGATTCCCCAGAGCCCCCTCCCCCAAGCTGCCTCCCACCAGAATCTCCCAGCCTCCGGGGAAAGAGAAGGGAGAAACTGAGGCTTGGGAAGTGGGTGCAGGGTCCCTGTCCCCTCGTCCCCTCACCCTCAGCCGTGAATGACCTGTTGCCTGTCTGCTCCCTGTGGTGGACCCGGTCGCCTGGGGTGTGTGAGTGGATGAAAGCACAACTGGCCAGCTTATCAGTGAGTGTGTCTGGGCCTGGGCTGGTGTTCACCACCACGGAGAAGTGGGTTTCCTCAGAGGCTCGAAGGCCGCCAGGTGTCGGGGTACGGCTCCCTGCGCTCCTCTGCACACCGTTCCTCCCCGGGGCTGGACAAAGGGGTCACTGCAGGGCCAGCAGTCTGAACGGCGGGGGTGGGGGGACAGAGAACAGGCAGCTGAGAAAGCTGAGGGGGCCACTAGTGAGATGGGGCCGGGGTGCCCCTGCTTTCCACTCTGGGCCCCAGGATGTCATTTTATTTTTTAGTTTTAGTTTTGAGGCCACACCTGACAATGCTCGGGGCTTACTCCTGACTCTGCACTCAGGGGTCGCTCCTGTCCTGTGGGGTGCAGGGATTGAATCTGTCAACCACGTGTGCCCCCTGCTGTGCCCCCCTCTGCCCCCAGCATGGCATTTTAGTACAGGAGGGGATTACAGTGTCTCCTCCGGGCACCCCTCCCCAGCCCACTAATTGCTCTGATTAGACCAGACCAAGGGGAAGGAAAAACCTACTGAAGAGCAAGGAAACGTGGGTGGTGGGTGGATGGGGGGTGGTTCCCCACAAGCTGGATTTGTGGGCTCTATGCAAATGAGATGCAAACAAGATGCAAATGACCCAGCTCCACATGGCCAGGTCTCTGGACAAGCACTTGGAGGTCGAGGACCCCTGTGCTCACGTCACCTTCTGGGGTGCCTTGTCAATGACCAGGTCTCCCCCACCTCCTTCCACCAGCTTGCCCACACAGGGAGAGCGTGTGCTGCACGGCCCACTCCTGAGTGAGGATCCCCTTGTGGTGGTGCTCCAGGTCCTCATGGTGGTCTCCAGGTCCCAAGGACCGCCCCCCACCCATGGCTGTGTCCTAGGTCCTGAGAATCCCCTCATGGTGGTGCTCCAGGCTCCAAGGACACCCCTCATGGCAGTGAACCAGGTACTGAGGACCCCCGCCCGGTGGTGCTCCAGATCCTTCCAGCAGTGCTCTGGGTCCTGAGGGCCCCCCTCCTGGCAGTTATGCTCCTGTGAGGGCTGGTTTCTGACACAGAAGGGGAGGTGGCCTCTTGACCTGGCCCCCCACCTCAGGCACCCCTGGAAGCCTCACCACCCCCTCTTGCTGGGATCTCTGAGGCCCCTCAGTGGCTGGGGACACATCCGGGACCAGCTGGCTCTAGTCCCGTTGCATGGCACATGTAAGCCATCTCTGACCTGCGCCCTGTGGAACGTGGGTACCGTGGTGCCCGCTCCTTGGACTTGAGACGCTGCCACAGTGAACCTGGGGCTGAACTGATGACGCCCAGACACGGGCATAACCTGGCACCCAGTGAGGTATATGGGGATGGGGTCCAGCCCTTGGCGAACATATGGTCCCTGCCGAGTCCCAGCCAACACGGCTGGTGCATCCCAGAGCAGCTGGGCAAAGCCGATTGTGGTGGTCCCCAGCTGGGCCCTGGTGGCCCCAGGCTCCCGCAGGGCTCCCAGAGACACTGCCCCACCCACAGCCTGCCTGGGCACCCCCTGAATCCGGAATGGTGAGAGGATCAACTACTAGAGGGTCAAAAACCGCTTGATCTGAGGCCATTGTCAGACCTGGCGGGTGAGCACAGACCCCGGGAGTCCCACGGGTGAGCTGCAGAGGGCTGGTAACTCACAGCCTTTAGTTCTGCCTTCCCCTGGAAGGTGGGCCCAAAGCGCTCATGTCCCTTCCACAGATCCTGAGCTCCGGGGTGCTAGGACACTCCCCGTGCACCCTGCCCCCGACACCTCACACACACTGATGGCCAGAAGTATGGTCTGGGGACCACCAGGAGGACACCCACTCAGTCTGGGCCCAGGGGTGGCAGAGCATCCCAATAGGAAGCTGGGGGGGGGGGTCAAAGGTGCTCCCGCTGAAGCCCTGTCCCACAAAGCCAGTAATAATAAGCCCTCCCACCCCCGTCCCGAGTCGATGCACGCGGGTCATTCAATGTGAAGGAGCCAGAGCTGCGGAAAATGTTCGTGTTGATGGCAGCAGCGTCAGCGTCATTCCGCGGTACCCCCAACCCCAGGGAGGAAGGAGAGGGGCCCCTGGGAAGCCGGAATGTGCGGGGCAGGACATGCAGGAGCCCAGGCCAACCCGCCATCCTCTCAGCCAGGACCCAAAGGTCTGGGGAGGACACAGCGCTGGCGGCGGGGAGCTGAAGCAGCGGGGAGGAGGGGCCCTGCCTGGCACCCTCTGTGCTCTTCCTGCCCAGCCTCCAGGGCAGGCCCTTGGGCCAGTAGCCCTTCAGTCGCTCTGTCCCTGGGTGCCTCCGTTTTCATATCTGTAGAATGGGGGGGCCAGGTAAGCCCCCGGTCTGAATGATGGTGTAAGCACTGAAGCAATGGAAGGAAGATTCCCTGCAAAAGGACCGGGGCCGTGACCATGTGCACGCAGGGGAGTGGGTTTCTTCCTGTTTCAGGGGAACCCAGCACAGCGGTGGTGGGCTGCAGGGAAGGGGCCCAGCTTCTGCGCCCAGCTCAGGGTGGGTGTCAGCTCCTGGAGGGCCCCCGGGGGTGCCCCTGAGGCCCAGAGTGCGCAGTCAGGCGGGGGCTATAGGGCAGCCCCGGTAGGCAGCGGGATCTTGTAGCCACGGTGCAGCAGCAGCAGGCAGGCGCCCAGCCCCACGGCCCCCGCCAGCAGCACGGCCGCCAGGGCCTTGAGGAAGGAAGTCCTGGTCCGCGTGAAGGAGCCGGGGGCCATGATGCCCAGCAGGGCCGTGCTGACCGTCAGCGTGTACACGATGGAGACGGCCGTGTTGAGCGCCACGATCTTGCCGAACTTGGCGAACGGGGCGATGATGCAGAAGAAGAGGGGCACCGTGGCGATGACCGTGGTGAGGGCGCTGGACACGATGGCCACGCCCACATGCCGGACGGCCTCCAGCGTCCGCCACTGGCGCTGCGAGTGGGCGTCCTGTGTGGGGGGCAGGGGTGATGGTGAAGCCTTGTGGCCCCCACTCCGGGTGACCGCGCACGGCCTTGGGGGGGGGGCCCATCCTGCCTCTGGGAGCGGGGCTGCGGGGGCGCGTCCAGGCGCCCTGACCGGAACGGGGTCTTCTGCCTGCAGCTGCCCCGAGAGTGGAACTGATTCCACGGCCCGAAAGACGCATGTTTTTGCAGCACTGCGATTCCAAAGTAGAACGAGCCCAAACGGTGCCGAGCCCCACAGGCATTTGAAACTAAAGGCCAGCAGGTTCTCAGTCTTGGCCCGGCCGCTGACCACAGCTGGGGGCTGCTGACCTCCAGGCAGAGGCTGGAGGCCCCGACCCGTGCTGTGCGCTGCAGGTGACATGGGGCTCTGAGCCGGGAAGGTCGGTCCCTCTCCCCGGGGAGGCCCTAGAGAGGGGTCCCCAGATCTACAGCTTGCTTGGGGCGGAGCTGACAGTGGCATCCAGCCCCCAAGAACCACCCAACTAGGGTGGTGCCCCGGGGTGCCAGTGGCCGGAGCTCCCCTCTGCTATGCAGATGTGGTTAGATTGGGGGGCCCGGGGAAGGGGGCTCACCTCGGCCTGGTGCAGGGGCAGGTTCTCGCCGGCCAGCAGGTAGCCCTCGACCAGGTGGACGCAGTAGTCCACGGAGGAGCCAACGAGGATGGACAGGGATATGGCCTCCACAGCGCCCAGCTCCCAGCCACACCAGTACATGATGGTCACCACCAGGCAGACGATGCCTACGTGGGGGCAGGGCAGCTGGGACCGGCCATCAGGCACCTACAGGGGCATTCAGGCAGCCCGGGGGAGGGGGGTGAAGCCTAGCGAAGCCCCTTCTGCAGGGTAGGACAGGAGCGACCAGGACCCCGTGGAGGGGACAGCTGGGCATGATCTCACTGCGCCCACAGCTCCGTCCTGGGAACGGCCGTCACAGAGCCAGTGCTGAGCATAGGGTCTGCAGGTCCTGTGCCAGAACATGCATGGGGAGGGACGCAGGGAGAGGGACCCTGTCCCGGCCCCGCCCACTCACCCAGGATGCCCAGCGGCCCCGGCCCCACCTACTCCACTAGGATGCTCAGTGGCCCCGCCCACTCACCCAGGAGGCTCAGCGGCCCCGCCCACTGACCCAGGATGCTCAGCGGCCCCGCCCACTCACCTAGGATGCTGTGGCCCGGCCCCGCCCACTCACCCAGGATACTCAGCGGCCCCGCCCACTCACCTAGGATACTCAGCGGCCCCGCCCACTCACCTAGGATGCTCAGTGGCCTGGCCCCGCCCACTCACCCAGGATACTCAGTGGCCCCGCCCACTCACCTAGGATGCTCAGTGGCCCGGCCCTGCCCACTCACCCAGGATGCTCAGCAGCACGGGCAGCAGGAGCAGCAAGTGCGTGGTGAAGACGGCTACCGCGGCTACGCAGATGAGCAGGGACAGGGCCAGGCCATACAGCGCACTCTGCACCCCTGGGAGGAACGGGGAGCCTCAGTGGGACACTCCCGGCCCCCAGCCCGGCAGCACGGACAGACCAGGGTGGGTCTGGGGCAGACCCGAGCCTCTCGAAGCCACCATATCTTCACCCTGGGCCCGGCTGGAGTTTAGAGGGATCAGAGACGTCCTGGCACAGGGCTGGGCACCTCCAGGAGTCCCAAAGACAGACATCTGCCACTGGAACCGCCAGTATCCCACCAGAGGCTGTGTTTGGCAGACCACGGGGCTGGGATGTGGGCAGGACGGGATTCACGCTTCGGGCCCTGGTGCACGCCGGAGTCTTCAGCAGTCTCGGCCCGGGCAGCCCACACCCACACCCACGCACCCAGGACACGGGCTGGCCGCTGCTCACCTATAATCTCCATGAAGATCTGTTTCCAGTGCTCGCAGGTCTGGAAGCCGCGGCGCAGGGCAGACCCCTCAGGGAAGGCCCGCAGCTGGCCCTGGAGGAAATGCTCCCAGCGCAGGTAGTCTGCGTATGTCTGGAAGGAGGACTTGCCCTTGTATGTGGTCTGCAAGGACACAAGAGGGTCTCGGTAAGAGGGTGGGGGGCGAAAACAGTAGCCCAATAGCCCTTCCCGGGACACAAGTTTGCTCTGTGGCACATGCGGCCAGAGGTGGCTGCGTGCAGTGTGGGGGTGCAGGTCAGCTGGGAAGTGATGCCCAGCGTGGGATGGGGGGAGGCTGGGCGGGGATTTGCTTCTCTCTCCAACTGCAAGGTGCAGAGTAGACGCAATTTTACAAAGGCGATTTAGACACGTGCGGGAATGTGCATGAGCCGGAGGCCTGAGGCCTGAGGCCTGGTGAGATAAAGCAGCTGCAGAAGGAGAGAGACTGACTCTACTTCCCCAGGGACCCAGAGGGACTCTATCCTGGAGACAGAAAATGGGAGGGCCAGGAGGTGTGGGGGCACAGTTTCATGGATGATAAGCTGCACAGTCTTAATTGTTAACGACGTGGATACAGCTGCAGTGTTTAGTTCTTGGTGACACGATGCTGCCTGGTCAGAGATTACAGCAGGAAAGCCACACAGTGGGAGGGCTGGAGCCTGGGGAAGAGGTCTGGCCTCATACACAACCCTCCACCTCTGCTTCCCCAGCGCTGCCCCGTGACTTCTGACCTGCCAGACTCTAGGCACTACCCTAACTGGAGGGGTTTGAGGTTTGAAGGGAGGATTCGTCTGCTCCAGGATCCCGCCCACAGGGGTCTGGACCAATTTAGCATGGAGGTGAGGGGCCATCTGCTGCGGGGCCCTGACCGCTGGGCTAGGTCAAGTTAGCGTGAAGGGGAGGGGCCACCTGCTTCAAGACCCCACCCACTGGGGGGCTGGACCAAGTCAGCATAAAGGGGAGGGGCCACCTGCTCAAGGCTCCGCCCACTGTAGGGTTTGGACAAGTCAGCATGAAGGGGAGGGGCCAGCTGCTCCAGGCCCCGCCCACAGGGGGACTGGACCAACCCTTAGCTTGAGGGGAGGGGCCAGTTGCTCCAGGCCCCGCCCACTGGGGGGCTGAACTAGGTGTCAGTGCGGAGGCAGGCAGCAGGGCATGCTTGGCAACTCTCAGAGCCAAGGTGGGGGTTCCGAGGTGCCCAGGGCAGGGCTGTGTATGTCCATACCTCCTGGCACCTAGTCCTGGACGTGCAGGTAGGGAGACGGAGCTGTGGAGTATTGGTGCCCTGCCCTGAGCGATCCTGGGTCAGCGGCCCCCAGAGTGGCAGAGGAAGGGTCCCTAGTTCCACCTACCTGCCCCGACCAGCGAGGCCCGGGGGCAGGAGGGGAGGGAGGCAGGTGGGAGCCCGAGGGCAGAGGGTCGAGCTCTGGGCAGCGTCCAGGCTGGTTCGGGGCGTCAGGGTCCCGTGGGCCCGGGCTGGCCGCAGGCAGGCTCACCGACTCAAAGGCCATGGAGATCCACTGCACGCGGCCCTCCTTGACACCCACTGCCCCGTGCGACAGCTGCCCAGGGAGCAGGTTGGGCTCGGGCAGCTCCTTGCACTCGGGGTGCAACATCTGCAGGAAGGAGGAGATGCTGTAGCCTGCGGGGAGAAGGGGCGGAGCTGGGCGGGAGCCGGGAAGTGCGCCCTGCCCCCACCTGGCCCCTGCACATGTGCGTCCTGCTGTGGGTGACCACGGGCCAGGCCTGTGTGCCACAGTGGGTGGAGAGTGACATCCTGTGCCCTTCTGGGGAGAGGCTTGGCATGGGCCCCCCCCTGGCCTGGGGATGCCATCTACACACTCCCCACACCCACGCCCTTGTGGAGGCTGCTGGGGTGCTGGCTCCCCCAGCCCCAGACCCTCTCAGCCTGGCCCCCTCCCTACCCCCGCACCTGAGGGCAGGCACTGGGCCCCGCCCGGCTTCACCAGCTCTTCGTTGCCGGCAATGGCCTTACACAGGCGGCACAGGTGCCCGATCTCCTTGAAGAGGTCAAAGCTGCTGTCGTAGACCACGCTGCCCTTTCCCAAGGAGACACAAGGTGGTGCGGGCGCTGAGTCGGGCCACAGTGCTCCCAGAGGCCTCTGCCCCGTCCCCACTGAGCCCTGGCACTGCCTGGCATGGATCAGGGGCTCCCTTCCCTGCTCTGACGCTGCCTATCCCCGTCTGCTCATCTGCCCCCTCCCACCGCCATGCACTCCCTCTCTCCTACTGCCCTCCATGTCCTCTCAGCGCTCACGGCCCTCCCACCCAGCCCTGACCTCAGGGCTGAGGTCCCTCTGTCCAGTGCCTGCCTTCCCGCCACCTGCTCAGTGCCCAGGGCGTGCCAGGCATGTGGCAGTTACAACCTACTGTCCCAGTTGCCCTTGGCACCCCAGTCCCACACAAGACGTGAGGGCAGGGAAGGGGCAGGGAGAGGACAGCAGAGGCCCATCAGCCGGGCAGTGGGTCCAGGGGTCACACTGCTCCCTTCTGGCACCTCAGGGCAGGGCAGCCAGCTCAGGCCCCGGGTGCACACAGACACGGGGCCAGCCCTGCCCGGCCCTCAGCGTGGCCCCGAGCCTGTCTGTGCCTCCCAAGGTGCCAGGAGGCAGGGCGGGCAGCTGCCCCCGGGCCCGCGTACCTGGTCCCCCAGGACGTGGTTGTCCGCCTGCCGCGTGCGGTTGATGCCAATGATTCCGAAGACCACAAAGACCATGGCCCCCGTGTCCACCAGCGGCCGCACAGCCGGCTTCCCGCAGCCCGTGTTCACGCAGGGGTTGAAGCCGAAAGTGGGTGAGAGGCGGGTCCTGGGCACTGCTGAGGGAGTCAGAGCTGGGCGCGTGGGGACCAACCAGGGCTGGGCCTCCCCGTCCCCGGCAGCCGCCCCACGCTACCTTTCTCACTGGGCACGTAGAAGAAGCCTTTGGTGGGCCCGTCGGGGCTGGAGCTGAGCAGGCAGCCCGGAGGCGCCACACACACGCGCCCGTGGAAGGGCGGCTTGTGCGACTGCGCGAAGTAGAGCTTCCTGCGGAGCAAGAGGGGAGGCGAGTCCGGGATGCTGCGTGGATGGGGCAGGACGCGAGCTCCACACGCGCACCACGCTGCAGGGTGGAGCGGCAGTTCTCACACCGTCCTCCAGGGGGCGCAAGACCTGGTGGGGCCCCACGCCCACCTTCACCCATCTGGCCAGGCTTGGGGTCCCTCAGAAGCCCTCACCTCTTGTGCCCCCCAGAACAGTCTAGAACCTCAAAATTTTATGTGAAGATAAGAGTTTCCTCAGGCAGCCTAAGGTTCTTTCTACCCTTCGCCAGGCAGCCTCACAGCCCAGTCACGAGGTCATGACTGTGCAATCTGCCTGCCGGCCCTGAGCCTAGGCCCGCTCACCTGGGTGCCGAGTCCGGCCCTCATGGAGACCTCGGTCCCCTCTGCTTCCCGAGCACTGCCGGGGTCCCCACGCGTGCTCCCTTTCCTTCACCTGCGAGTCCCCCCTTCTCCCAGCTGCTCTCACTGTTTGCGGCGACTAAGGGGCTCACCCATTAGCTGCCAGGCTCCACAGCACAGCCCATGGGCGGAGGAAGCTGTGTCATTTTGGGGTGGGGGCACACCAGGCTGTGCTCAGGGCTTCCTCCTGGAGGGCTCGGGCAACCATATGGGGCCTTGGGGATTGAACCTGGGTGGGCCGCGGGCAAGAAACATGTAGGACCCACTGTGCTACTGCTCAGACCCTTCTGTACTTTATCAGTGAATCCCAGCACTAAATGGGATCTCGGGCCTGGGCCAGTGGTGGAAGGCTCAGGGTGGCCCCCGGGGCTGGCTTCGCCTCCTCTCTGTGAGCTTGGGGCTGGCAGGACATGAGCCCATTCATGGGCAGCTGTTGTGGGGACAATTCCAGGGCCTGCAAATTCAGGGGTCTCTACTCGGTTGCACGTGTGGGGAGCACCTGCGAGGGAGCAGGGGGACCCAGGCAGGCTCAGCAGGGACAGTGGTGTGGGGGCAGCACCCCGGGTGCAGGTGCCAGCGAGAGTGTCAGGCCTGAGGGCAGCAGGTTCGAGGCGTGGGAAAGGGCACTGTCTGGGGCTCAGGCTGCAGTGAGGGACAGCCTCTCTCCCGGAGGGGGCCTCTGGGACCTGAATCTTGACCCCAGCCCCAGCGGAGCCAGAACATTCTGGAAGAGGGAGCTCCAGGTTCAAGGCACAGGGGCCCGAGAGCTAGTGGGGAGGGGAGGTACCCCAAAACCTCCTGCAGGAGCCTGGCCCACACAGGGTGCACGCTGTCTCTGCTGGGATCCCCAGCCCGCAGGCTGCACAGAGGAATATCTGACAGGATGCTGCTACGCCACACATACGCCACGTGTGTGTGTGTGTGTGTGTGTGTGTGTGTATTCACTGGGTTTTTCTGCCATAATGTATGTCTCCCATGTGTCTATATTGGTGTATGCGTGTATGTCTCATGTGCATCTGTGTGCATGTGTGTCTCTGTGTGTGGTAGGTACATGTCGTGTACATGTGTGTGTGGTGTGTATGTCTGTGCATGTGTCTCTGCATCTCATATGTGTCTGTGTGTGCATGTGTGTCTTTGGTGTTTCTGTGCATGTGAGCACATGTGTCCCTGTGTCTGGGATGGTGTGTCTGTACGTGAGATGCACACGTCTGTGCCAGACGTGCGTGTCTGTGTGCAAGATACATGTGTGGGTGGAGCATGAATGTCTGTGTTTGGGATGTGTGTGGGACGCATATATCTGTGTGTGGGATGCGTGTGGGACACGTGTGGCTATGTGAGATGCAAGTGTCTGTGGGACACGTGCATCTGTGAGATGCATGTGTGTATGTGTGGAGCACGCATGTCTGTGTGTGGGTGCATGTGGGATGTGTGTGTCTCTGTGTGGAATGCATGTGACTGTGTGGGACGCGCATGTCTGGGTGGGGGTGTGCGTGTCTGTGTCTGTGACACGTGTGGGACACGTGTGCCTGTGTGTGGGACGCGTGTGTCTGTGATGCATGTGGGATGCACATGCCTGTGTGTGTCTGTGTGTGGGACATGCGTGTCTGTGACGCATGTGGGATGCGTGTACCTCTGTGTGTGTGTGTGTGTGTGCGTTTGTGTGTCCCCAGAGGGCGGGACCGGCTCGGCGGCAGGGCTCCGTTACCGGCTGTGCTTCTGCTCCTTGGCGGCTGCGTAGAAGCTGAAGTCGAACTTCCAGCCCCGCTTGGCGTCGCAGGCCAAGGTGGTCAGCATCCACTTGCGGGCGGGGCTGGCCGCCGGGAGGAGCCCTCCTGTAGACATACAAGCGGTCAGCTTCCTGGTGAAGTCACCAAAAGGCGCTCTATACACCTGAGCATGGAGCGACAGAGACAAGACACGTGACTGGGGCGCGGCCCGGCCTGGCCGCCCGCCCTGCCCAGCCCTCGGGTGCAGGACCTGGGCCCGGGTATCCCCTCCCGCTGAGCCTCCGTCCTTCGTCCTTCCTGCACTGAGCCCCGAGCCACAGCCATGGCGGTGCCAAGCTGTCGTGACCCGAGACTCAGCAGAGTCACTCAGACCCAGGACACAGCAGGGGCAGCGGGAGGGGTGGCCAGGCACTGGGCTGAGACATGTGTGGGTGTCAGGTGCTGAGCTAAGGTTTGTGGGGTGTTGGGTGCTGGGCTGACGCGTGTGGGTCAGGGTGCTGTTTGGGTCAGGGGACAGCACCACTGAGGCTCAGAGCCAGGCAGGGCTCTGTTGCTCAATGGAGACCCTGACCCTGAGCACTTGAGCAGGAGCATGTTGTTCTGCCCCTGCGGATGTGATGCCTCAAAGGACAGGTGACTGACAGGATGGCCGGGAGGCCTGCGGTTGTCACTGCCCAGGAAGCAGGACACCAGCCGGGTTGCCAGTGTCCCAGGTGCTCCCAGCCTCGGCCTCCCGGACTGACCAACCCCCTTTCATAGGTGAGAAACTGAGGCTCAGGGAGGCAGACACTGCCCAGGTCTGCGGGCTCTGTGGGCCTTGCCCGCTCCTGGCCCGTGCGGACACACGTCGGGGCTGCAGGCTCACCTGGAAGGAAGGCACGTCCCCGGCCCCGGGGGCCACCACCTGCCAGGGGGCGGGGCGGCTGGCGTTGAGTGACAGCCTATAGATGGCCGGGCGGCCCGCCGCCTTCACCTGGGACACGTACACGGTGCCGGGAGCGTCTAGAGAACAAGGGGACAGCAAAGGGAACGGTCACCTGGGGCGTCCAGGGAGCAGGGGCGAGGAGCAGGACAGTCGCCTACTGGCTTCTGGACCCTGCATCGCCCACCCTGGGCAGACCCGCTACCATGTCCCTCTCTCTGGGGACACCACGGTCCTGGATGGGGGGAGCGGCAGGGGATGGGAAACCAGGAAGGGAGGAGGCGCTGGGGTCCATGGTGAGGGGAGACCCCAAAAGGGCTGGGCCAGGCTGCCCCCCCAGGATGGCCATACAGGTAAGGTTTATGGGGGCTGTGGCAGCAGGGGGACCCCACAGTTCTCACCTGGAGACACAGGGACCCCAATCCCACCCTCCACGGTAAGCCAGGAACATGTCCCTAGTTCTCACAACAGGATCTAAGAATGGCCTGACGGGCTCTCCACCAGGGACCCCCAGCCAGGCGGGCTGCTGGGGACCCCACAATGGCTAGACCCCTCACTCCTCCAGCAGGGTGGGCCCTGGGGACTCCAGACCCCATCTCCTCTCCCCCTGCAGGACAGGTCCAGAGGCCCCCCAGGCCTCGGTCCCCACTCACCCTGCAGGGTGGGCTCTGGCCGGCTGGCCCAGGGCAGCCCCGACCCCCGCCTCCTCTTCTCCAGGGAGGTGCGGATGTTGCTTTGCAGACTGTGGGGTTTCTCCTGGAAAAGACCTGCCCCCCACGACCTCAGGACCTGCAGGCTCCCTGCACGGCTGGGTCTGGGGTCCCCGGGAGCCAGGGCCCACATTGTTGGGGTTTGGAGCTAGGGGAACTGTGGGAAACAGCGCTGACCCCAGAAAGTGGCCAGTCCCCGCTCCGAGAGAGATCCGGCCAGGCTGCACCCGTCCCAGTTCTGTCGGTGGGCGTGTGTGTGTGTGTGTGTGTGTATGTGTGTGCGTCTTGGACCCTCCAGCACAGGGACAAGAAAGTGACCCACTCGCAGATGGTGGGACCACTCCGGCCTACCAAGGGTCAGCTTTTTACTCCAGCGTGTTGTTTACAGGGGAGACACTATTCCCCTCCAACCGTCTTTCCTCAGAACAGCCCTGACGGTACTGTGTGTCACATTTAACTGCAGAAAGCAGGTTCCCGCTGGGGCGGGGGTGCCCGCAGGGTCTCCACAGCAGCCGAACCCCCTCAGGGTCCCCTCTACCTAAAACAGAGGCTCCCACGCTTACCTGGCCTGTCACCCCCTTTCCAGAAACCAGTCAGCACCCTGGACAGCTCCCCTGTTAGGTGATGACTACGCCTTCTGCTGCCCCAGGGCGTCACCAGGAAACCCTGGCCTGGAGTCCTGTCCTCTTAGCTATGACCTTCCCTTCCATGGCTGCCGAGACCCCCCACCCTCCCAGCCAGGTCCCCCTTTGTCTCAGGCCAACGGCTTCCCATTCTCTGGAGACGCCTCCACCTCCAGGCAGCTTTCCATGAAGCTCTCACTGCCCGCCCCACCCTGACCTTGCACCACGGCCTGTGCCAGTGGCCCAGTGCAGCACCCAGGACGGCCCTGTCTGACCGAATTGAGACCCACGGAGTGCTAGGAGGCAGGGACCGCAGAGGTCCAGCAGCGAGGGGGCCCCGAGTGCCCAGCTCTCGGCCAGCGGGCAGCGCTCACCGGAGCAGGTGGTGCAAGAGACGCCCTCGGCACTCAGGTTGTACTTCAGGTCCAGCAGCACCTGGATGTTGGTGTCAGGCCGGAAGAGCAGTGGGGCGCGGCTGGCGGGGCGGAGCCGACTGGCGAACACCAGGGACAGGACCAGGACGGTGACGAAGAGGCCTGCAAGGCAAGGAGGGCGGGCGCCGGAAGAGCCGGGTTGGGGGCTGGGCTGGGGGACAGGCAGCCGAGATGCCCGAGATGCCCGCGGCTCCAGGACCTGGCCAGGGCATGTCCGTGCAAACAGCCACCCACACATGCCACATTGAGGTCCGAGCTCTTAGGACTTTGTGTTTTCCTGGTGTTGGGGGTGGGGGACACCTGGCGGTACTCAGGGATCACACTGGGTGTGTGTGTGTGTGGGGGCTCTGTGCAGTGCCGGGGGCTGACCCTGGGTCAGCCATGTGGAAGATAAGTGCCCATCCTCTGGGTTGGGTTCACGGCCCGTGCAGTGGGCCCCGCCTGCTGACGCTGGTGACATTGTTGGCTACAGGGGCACGATAGGCCCAGCCCTGGACACAAGGCCAGCAGGTGGCCCTCAGGAAGCCTCCCTGGTCAGTGCTTAACGCCAGAGCACAGTCGCCTGCGACTGGGTCCCTTCCAGCCACATGAACTCTGCTAGTACTCAGAAGTGTTTCACTCGGCCAGTCTGGTGGCAGGCAGCCACCTTGTCCCCCACAGGAAGCAGGGTGAAGGGGAATGAGGGGTGCCAAGCCGGCGTTCGGAGGTAGGTCCCAAGGCCCAGGCACTCTCTGGGGCGTCCATCCTGACGCAGGCCCTGACAGACCCCCCTGGCCCACTCACCCACAATCACCCAGCGGCTCTTGACTGCTGACCACAGCACCCAGTGGTGGAGAAGTTCCTGCAACTGAGTGATGAGCTGCCCCGCGCTGGCCCTGTCGGGGGCGGGCTGCCGCACCTCGGGGGGCACCGATACCAGTGACCCGTCACCCAGCTCCAGGGACACTGCGGGGCAGAGTAGCGGCCATCAGCGACCCGCCCTCCCCGCCTCGTCCAGCCCCCTGCCTGGGGCCCGACTGCCCGGGACTCACCTGGCTCATCGTCCACATCCAGCAGCGGGATGTCGTCATCCAGGTAGGGCAGCGGGCCGGGGTCCGGGCAGCCCCCAAGGCGCGCGGGCGCCATGAACACGTCCCCGGGGAAGTGCGGCGGGCTCTTGTGGCCACACCTCTGCTGGCAGCTGCGGAGATGGGGGCCAGGCACCAGGTGCTGTGACCCCAGGAGAGGGAGGGCAACGCGCAGCCCCCACTCCCAGGGGACAGAAGTGGGAGACTGTGCCTCCCTGGCTGTGCAGCCGGGCTGGCTGGCGCTGGGCAGAAGAGGCCTAAGGCCTCACCCGCATGAACGGAGCAAGCGCACCCCGAGAGCCGGGGCCAGCCCTGGAGTCGTACCCACTTCTCCTGGGAGTCCTGCAAGTACCCCAGTGCTGGGGACCCTGCGAGTACCCGGTTCCAGGGACCCCACAAGGGAAGGGAACAGGAGCTGCCGTCTGGTCCTGTTTGAGTCATTCCCCAGACCCAGAAATAATCGCTCCCTCAGTCCACACCCTGCAGACCACTGCCCTGGTGACCCGGCTGGCACTGGGACGCATCCCTGCATATGCCAGGAGCTGGGGGGCCTGAACTGGGCCCGAGGCGGAGCGCCAGGCTCACATGCCACCTGGTCTCCCTCGGCTGAGCTGGGCATTGTCATGGGCCACGACACCCCTGCTTGGTCACACCCAGCCCAGGCGGGACTCCCAGGCTAGCTCCCACGAAGCTAGCCCTCCCTCTCACTGCCCTTCCCGAACCCCCAGGCCTCTGGCAGAAACTACTCCCACTTAAGGGGGGGGCGGTTCCCCTTCCCCAGGCAGGAGCCCTGAGGCCATGAAGCATGGGGAGGAGGCACAGGGCCTGGGTCAGCTTTCTCGGGTCCAACAGTGTCTCTGCCACCTACTACACGGCGACCCGGAACAGGGCGTCACTGCCCCCAGCTGTAGGCTGTGAAATGGGGGGACAGGGGCCAAGTAACCGGTGTCCCGTGAGGGGAGACAATACGAGCTCGAACAAAAGCTTGGGGCCCACCTCCTGGCACCCTGGAGGTGACCCCAAATGGGGCTCACTAGACCGACTCTTGTCTTGTTCTCTCTGCCCCAAGTGGGTCTGGCATGGGGCCGGGTACACAGAGGGTGCTCCGTAAGGGCTCTCGGGCTGGGTACACAGAAGGTGCTCAATCAGGGCTTGTGAACAGGGGCTCCTTGCTGTGCAGCCCAGAACCTGGTCAGGTACCCAGTGCGAGGATGCCCTCCCCCGCCTGCTCACCCACCTGGTCTGGCAGGTGCTCTCCAGCGGCGCCAAGTAGAGGCTCCAGATGCCCAGGGCAGCGGGCATGGTGAAGAGCACGGCCAGCCAGCAGCAGGACACGATGAGGGACATGAAGAGGCCGAAGTCGTGTACGGCTGGGATCTGGAGGGGGACACAGCCAGCCTGGAGCCCAGGGAGCGGAGCTTCGGGGCAAGCCTCTGGCACCCAGGCCCGAGGGCAGAGCAGGAGGCAGTGCCCGGCTGGGACAGGGGCAGGGTGGAGCCGGGGCAAGGCTGTCCTAGCTCGGGAGCGCAGGTTCCTGTCCCGGCCGATGCCTGTGCCCAGGTCGGTGCCCCCTGGGTAAAGGTGCTCAGTATACGCCATAGGCACTGCCCCCTGCCCCCGGCCAGCCAGAACGAGGCTTCCCTAACTCGCTCCAGGTCGACCAGGTGCCAGCGAGAGGCTGCCAGGGCAGGTAGGGGCGGTCTGCGGGGCGGAGTCCCCACCTGGGAGAAGACGTTGGCGGCGTAGGCGGCGGCCGTGGTCAGCGAGGTGAAGAAGGTGGCCTTGCCGGCTGTCTGGATGGTGTGGGTCATGCGTAGCTGCGGGTCCTCCAGGTGGGCGGCCTGGCGGTAGGTGTTGATGAAGACAAAGACATCGTCCACGCCTGTGGGGGTCCCGGGCGGCGGGGGCACACTGAGGGACCAGACCCGGCCCCAGGCCCCGCCGCCCAGTCCCGGCTCCCTGGGGGTCCTGCTCCACCCACTCAGACCCCCCCTTCTCCCAGCGCAGCCACGTGGAGCCTCTTCCTACCAGCCCCCACCCTGGGGGGCTCCGTCCACCCCGCACTGCTCTCCCCCAGGCTCTGAGGTCTGAGATGGGACTTTCGGGGACCCCCCACCAGGAAGCTGGGAGAAGGCACTGGGGGGCCCACTCACCAATGCCCACGATCACGAAGGCCGCCACCCCGTTGAGGATGCCCAGGTACCGGACCCCGAAGACCACGTGGTACAGGAAGAGCGCCACCAGGCAGCTGAGGCCGATGCTGGCAATGCCGAAGAAGGACAGGAACACTGGCGGGGAGAGGCAGGGAGAGGTGCAGGAGCGATGAGGCTGCAGGCGGGGGGCTGGAGCAGACCCCCCTGACGTCCCTCTCCCCGCCTCCCCCTCCCCAAGGCTCATTCCCTCTGTGCTTCTCTGCGCCTAGGGCCTGGGGCCGGCAGGAGGAGCGGGACGACTGGACACCTGCTCCCCCCACACGGGAGTTACGGGGACACGGACTGTCTGTGCCGTCCAGTGCCTTAGGCGGCAGTTCTCAAGGCCAGTTTCCCCAGCACAGCTGGAAGCGGGCGAGGAGGAAGCCCCCTGCCTGAGGGCGTCCCCGGCACGACTCTGCTCAGGGCCTGCCACCAGCCAACGTCCCTGTCTCTCTCCCATTCTGGACGGGGTCACTGTGTGGAACAAGGTTGGCTGGCCTGAGGCCGGAAACAGCTACTGAATGATCTGGAAGGAGCATCTGCTGGTCCCGGAAACCAAGCTGGGGGCCAGCAGGGGGCACTGAGAGGCCCAGAGGCGGGAGCAGGGTGGGCCCTACCTGAGCAGGAGGTGAGGACGTAGACCAGGGCGGCGATGCAGCTGCTGCTGATGACGGCCAGGAGCATGTCGTTGTTGAAGGTCCTGCGCACTTCATAGTCAAAGAGGTCCGTGCCCCCGTACAAGACCTGCACCTTGCTGGGGGGCGGAGCAGAGGGGGCTGTGAACGTGTGGAGGGGGGCTGGCTACAGCCCGCCACTGCTGCATGCGGAGATCTCCCTAGGGCCCTGGAGCATCCTGGTGAGAGCTTCCCCAGGTGGGGGCCATCACTCCTCCCTCGCAGGTGCGGGACACACCCCCGGGGGCAGGTGTGTCGGACACACCCCCCGACAAGGGACGTGGGGGGGGTCACTTTAGGTTAAGTCAATTAAGGAAGGAGATCTCTTTTCTGGAAACGGGGCAGTTGGTCAAATAAGTCTGGGAACCTCTTGGCTCTAGAAATATTCAACCAGAATTTGCAGGATGGCGGGTACGACCAGCGTTTAACCATTCCCCCCGCCCACCCCCAGGCCACGCAGATGCCCGGCCCGGATGTCATCTCCGCTCTCATTATACAGTAACTGGTGTCACCTCCTGAGTTGCAGCTATTCACAGTCAAAGGCTACATTCAACGCCACGTCCAGACACTCGGCTCTAAACCGCTCTTCAGCATGTCCTTAACGCAAGCTACTGTGAATAACCCAAAACCCCCCAGCAGGGTGCTGGGATCTGAAGACACAAAGAGAAACAATCTCTGCTTCCGGCCAAGACGGAGGTGACTTCTACATCACCCTTGGGTCGGGGAAGAGAGCGAGAGAGGGAGAGAGAAATGACTGAAAAAAAATCAACAAGGAGTGGTGCTGAGGGATGAGGAACGAAATGAACACTTTGTCACCCAAACTTTCAGCAGCGCCTGCAGTAGGGTTACTGGGCTCCCTGAAAGAGGCGCAAAATACTCCAAACTTGATGAAAACTGTAAATTCATTCATTGAAGAACTTTGAGCAATGAAAAAATAAACTACACACACAACACACGATTTTCACTGAAAGAATTAACACACACAACCACACAACACTTACAACCCAATGAAACAGTGAACTACACACACAACACACACAATCCAATGAAACAGTGAACCACACACAAAACACAACCCAATGAAACAGTGAACTACACACAAAATACACACAATCTAATGAAACAATGAAGTAAAGACAGAACACACACAACCCAATGAAACAATGAACTACACACACAACACACACAATTCAATGAAACAGTGAACCAGACACAAAACACCACACACAACCCAATAAACAATGAACTACACACAAAACACACACAATTCAATGAAACAGTGAACCAGACACAAAACACCACACACAACCCAATAAACAATGAACTACACACAAAACACTCACAACCCAATGAAACTGAACCAGACACAAAACACAAACCAATGAAACAGTGGACCACACACAAAACACATAACCCAATGAAACAATGAACTATACACACAACACAACCCAATGAAACAGTGAACCACACACAACACAACAGAATGAAACAGTGAACAACACAACAGACAACCTAATGAAACAACCACACACAACACTCACAACCCAATGAAACAGTGACCCACACACAAAACACTCACAACTCAATAAAACAATGAACTACACACAAAACACAATCCAATGAAACAGAGAACCACATACCAAACACAACCCAGTGAAACAATGAATGACACACAACACACAACCAATGAAACAATGAAATACACACACCACTGTGTGTACAACTCAATCAATCAAACAATATATATTTTCATCAACATGAATCTGCTCAGACCGAAGAGAGAGACCCCGTGGAAGTGGTAAGGAGTGAGACGCCCGCACAGAGATGAGGGGCAGCACAGAGGGCCGCTGGTGGCTCCCTTTACCTGCCAGGGAAACGTCAGCAGGATTCCGTATCCAGCACAGGCGCATTTCAGAAACGGACAGGGGAGACTTTCCCATCCATGAATGCTGAAAGCACCCGCCCCCAGGCCCCGGCATGACAGGTCGAGGAATAACCCTGGGCAGGGGAAACGAGGACAAGGTGGAGCCCGGTCCACACAAAGGACTGAAAGGCCGGAATGGTCGGAATGGTCGTGGCCTGGAGAATGCGCAAGGTTCCTTACTCAAGTTTTACTCATGACTGAGCATTTGAACCTAATTATAGTATGGGGTTTAAGACACATATGAAAATGAAATGTCCGATAATACCATAAATAAAAGCCAACTTATTATTATTGCAATCATTATTAGGTTCTTAGACACAAACTGGTATAAAACCAGTAGAAGATATATTGTGATAAATTAAAAAAATTATATATACAAGCTATAATCCCCACTGCTGTCACCAAAATTAAGAGTTATAGTGAGAAATTCCCAACAAAAAACAGTGGAATAATCAAAATAATTAGTCCAAAAGAAGGTAAATGAGAGGAAAATGGTGACAAAGAACATAAGTGACAAACAGAATCAAATAAGTGATAGTCCTGTATCACTGTGTTAATGACTGCACTAAGTACAAATTGTCTAGACACCTCAACTAAAAGGCAGAGACTGTCAGACAAGCTGCAACAATCAAGACGCGGCTGCTTGGAAGGATTCTACTTTACGTAGGGGGCCGGAGAGATAGTACAGCCTTGCACACAACTGACCCAGGTTCGATCCCCGGCACCCTAGATGATTCCCTGAGCACTGCCAGGAGGAATTTCTGGGTGCAGAGTCAGGAGTGCCTCCACCCCCCCCCCCAAAAGCTGCAATGAAGTAAATTTCAGAGTAAAGGATACTATTCGGAATAAAAGAATACTATTTCAGTTTTGTTTTGTTTTGTTTTTCAGGGCAGGGTGGCACACCCAAGCTGTGCTCAGGGCTTACTCCTGGCTCTACACTCAAGAGTCACTCCTGGCGGCTCTGGGTTCAGGGACCATAAGGGGGGCTTGGGATTGAACCTGGGTCAGCCGCGTGCAAGGCAAACACCCGACCCACTGTACTGCCTCTTCAGCCCCCACAGGAGACTATTTCAAAACGATAACAGGATAAATCAATTCAGAGGACGTAACATAAACCCCAGCTGTTTTGTACTTAAGAGTTTTAAGCCACACAAGGCAAAAACCTAGAAAGGAAAAGAAAAAGGAGGCAGACACACCCACAGTTAGCATCGGCTATCCCGAGGCCCTTTCTCCGGCACTGCTAAGCCAATTAGAAAATCAGTTAAGAATATAAAGAAGTTGAACAACTCAATAAACCAACTTGACCTAAAAGACATTTATAGAACAACCCCCAGCCCCACCCCCTGCCAAGGGCAGAGCCCGCGCTTCCCAAGTGCAGAGGAGACATCAGCAAGACAGACTGTATTCTGGACCAGATAACGCGACCCAAATTTAAAAGCACTTAAGTTCTGTGAAGCATGTTCCCTGCTCACGACAGAATTAAATAGCGACCGAAATAGAGAACCAAACCGCATCTGGAAAATCCCCAAATATGCAGAGGCTAAACAACACACTTTCAAACAGCACATGGGGCCAAGGGATCAATAGGGAAACTAAAAAAAGAACTGGATTATTATTATTTGTTTGTGGACCTTGAGGTGGAACTCAGAACTTCACACATGCCAGGCGAGAGAGCGGGGCCATTTGGCAGGCTCTTTATTTAACGAAAAAGAACGTAATAGCATCTCAAAACTCCGTGGGATATAGAAAAACAGTATTTAAGGGGAATTTTATAACAACACAAATGCGTATGTTTCAAAAGAAAGGTTTCAAATCAATGACCTCAGTTCCTACTGCAAGAAATAAGAACAAGAGAAAATTACACGGAAAGCAGAAGAAAGGAAAAAATGAAGGTCAGAGAAGAAATCAATAGACTAGAAAACAAAGACAACAGAGAAAAATGTATCAAACCAAAAGCCAGTTCTTTAGGGAGATCAATAAAATGGATAAACCTTTAGTCGGACTAATTGTGGAAAAAAAAAGAAGACACATAAAAAAAGTTAACATCGCTAAGGTTTCTACAAACACTAAAAAGACAATAAGGAAACCCTTTGAATTACTAAACCCACAAATGACAATGTAAATAAAAGGGTCAGATTTTGTAGAAGACTCAGAACTACCAAAGCTTGTGCAAAAAAGGGAAGAGATTAACTTTATTAACACCACAGGGAGATGTAGACTTTTTCATTTGTCATTAAAATCTTCCCATAAAGAAAGCTCTACGTCTTTCATCGGCAAATTCTACTGAACATGTAAGAATGAAATAATAACAATTCTTTTCAAACTTGCCAGGAAACAGAAGAGAGAAAGATATTTCCCAACTCACTCCACAGCGTAAGAAACACGCTGATCATCAGATCAAAGACAGAGAATGGCCCGGGAGGAAGCTCAAAGGGCTCTGCAGAGGGATGGCCCGGGAACCATCCCCAAAACCAGAATCTGCTCCAAGGACAGAGCCAGGAATACCCCTGGAGCACTGTGGGATGTGACTCCCTCCAAAACAACCTAAGAGGTTCCGAGAAAAGTGAAACCTCATAGTATCTATCATAAAAAAAGAATACAGCTAGAATACAACATTATACAAATCGGGTAATACAGCAGGACCCAGAGTAGTCACCAGAGTGAAGGGTGGGGTAACATCAACACCGTCCTCCCGTTGTTCATCAATTTGCTCGAGTGGGCCCAGTAACGTCTCCATTGTGAGACTTCTTGTTCCTGTGTTTGGCATATTGAATACTCTCGGTAGCTTGCTAGGCTCTCTGAGAGGGGCGGAGGAATCGAACCCAATTCGGCTGGGTCCTCCCGTTGTTCATCGATTTGCTCGAGCGGGCCCAGTAATGTCTCTATTGTGAGACTTCTTGTTACTGTGTTTGGCATATTGAATACTCTTGGTAGCTTGCCAGGCTCTCCGGAGGAATCGAACCCAGCTCGACCAGGCTGGCTGTGCGCAAGGCAAACGCCCTATCGCTGTACTATCACTCCAGCCCTGGGGTAACATCAACAATCTGCATAATTATTCACCCGATTAAACTGAAAAAAAGAGAATCAGCTCTCTTAAGTGCAGAAAAAAAAAAAGAATCCAATATTCAATACTGAGTTTTAAAACAACTACCAGTG